ATACATATATACATATACATATGTATTTGCATAAACATATACATATACGTAGACATATACATGTACATATACATAGACATAGACATAGACATAGACACATACATATATATATATATATACACAACTATTTACATATACACACTTGCTCATACTCATATTTCCTAGTTATGCCTAGATCAAACTTTGTGCATTAACGTACTGTCGTGGTACATCATCTCGTCATGCATCATACGGTGAAGGGATGGATGAACGGATGGATGGATTCCCTCGACCCTAGACTGCAACACCCAGACTGCAACACCCCTACAACCCCAAACCCCCTGCCTGTGCCTCCTCTCCGCCGGCTGCGGCTTCGCCGTGAGTAGCGCTCGGCTGCATCTGCGGATAAACAAGAAAGCATGTTAGGCCATTTCTTTTTGCTGACACCTCTTTTCCTCTCGCCTGGTAAAGGGTTGGGGAATGCCCATCTGGCTGAGGCGGGATGCGGGAGACCTTCAGTGGGATTCAACCACATCACCACCCCAGTACTGGCAACCCCAGGTCTCCCATATCGCCAGTGCAGACAGATCAGTGTTGCGAAATGACGATCAGCATCGAACGGCATGTTGGGCCTTAGGGTTCAGGGTTTGGTTTAGGGCTCCTGTGTCAGAATTCGTTCCGCCTGCTGTCTAGCAGAGTTCCTCGAGAAACCGTGCATGAGGGCGTGCCTGTCTTGCATAATGCATGCATTCACATGCCCACATATATCCAGGACAGTGTAGTCTATGTATGTGTGCATGAGCAGCATGGGTATGTGTTTATACAGCATGTGTCTATGTATGTATGTATGTATGTATGTATGTATGTATGTATGTATGTCTGTATGTATGTATGTATGTATGTATGCACGTGCATAGATGTGTGTGTGTGTGTTGTAGCATCAATCTGTCTACTTTCTATCGCGAAGTCTTACCTCCAAACATGCCATGTTTGATCTATTTTACAAGCGCAGCTTGACACAGTTACAGTTCAGCCTTCCCGTGCTCGTTTGCGATCTCGGGACGGTGGCCGCCTTTGAAGGCAGCCAAGATAAAACAGTTACACGGACGCGCACACACGGAGACACAGACACACGGACGGACATACACACACACACACACACGCACACACACACACACACACGCACGTGAACACTCTCAGAAGAGCAAAGGCTGACGGCCACAAGGCAAAAGACAAAACACCAAATCGATCAACTCATGGTTTGCCTGCTCCGCGAATCGCGGTTGCGATCTCGGCTGGCACGGTCACGTCGCCACCCATCACTCCGGTCCCGATCCCGGTCTCGGTGGTCCCGGTCTCGGGTGCGCTCCCGTTCCCGATCCCGATCCCGTCGGTCCTCACGTTCTCGCAAAACGACCTCGCCACTTTCATAGCGTCGGGGCAGGGTGCCAGGGCCGTCCCTTCGCGAGCGAGACCGGCTTTTCCGGCGATCCCGATCCCAGGTTCTCTCTCGGTCGCGGCTGCGGCTGCGAGTCTTGGGCGGCTCACCAGAAAGCGTCGAGACCAGATTGTTGATCTTGGCCTGGAGCTCCTCCAGCTCCATGGGGCTCAATGCCATCGCTACATCGGATTAGCTCGTGGAATTGCTGGATGTCTGTCTGCTCGTCCGCGGGCACCAGGATGCAGAGTGTGATTGCAAGTAGACACTGTGCTTGCAATCTGGTTTAGCATAGTCTCTGGGGTCTTACACTGATAAACATGTAGCAAGATTTTGAAACACCCATGCACAGCAGCGTACGTGCTGTAAATTCCAACTTAAGCGCACCTATTGCGTCAAAACCAGTTGTTAGTACGGATCATGTGACTTGAGAAACTTCTTTAATGATTGTTACAACATCTGAGGACCTCTATCTGCTGCTAAAGATATGTCCATGCTGAACTATCCCTTTGCTTCGTCGCCGGTAACACAGAAGGTATTTCCACGCACGTTTGCATCATTCATAAAGACAAGCTCAACAGCAACACGAAGCAGGTCGAAAATACATGACATGCAGGAACTGCAATTCGGAAGTCGGACCTTGGGGGCAGGTGCGAAACATGCACACAGCATCTACATCCTTGACGAGGGGACCGTCATCAAGCAGCCTGAAACCTCCTGACCAGCAACCTTGCAGGAAAAACCGAGTTCACCTTCGGCTTGAAGACGTTGTTCAGCATCTTTTCAATAAAACCACACCTTCCAAAAATGCACGCAGCAGCCACTTCATATTCTTCGGGAACGACCTTCGGTCGAATGATTCACTCTGTGTCTTCCTGGGATTCTAAGCAGTGCTCGCCAACTCGAAGGCGGCGATGTAGCGAGCAACATGCACATAATTGCAAAACAACTAACCAAAGAAAACTTCGACACGGAATGGCGAAAAATAGACGTGCTGAGCAGCCCAAACTCGTGGCTCCAAGCATCACGGCTGAGAACTAAACTCAAATCTGCCTTTCAACAACCTGTTGGAAGCTCACTGACTCGACGTGACATTTACATCCGGACAACAGCCGAGAATTTTGGGGGTTTTTGCTCATCCCCCGCGAATCTGCTGTGAAGAGACGCGGAATGTTTGCAGAGGAACTTTCTCTGCACAGCAGATCTGCTGCATTCGTGGGATGCTGCGGCTGGGAAAACTCTTAAAGCCTTCCACTGACGGGAACTTTGCCTCACATCCTTTTGTAAGTGACATCTGACATTGTAATGCAAAACACTGTTGGCTTCGAAAGTGTGCTTCTACTCAACTGCTATGAATTTTAAAACAATGAAGAACCATGAACTTTAAACTTTCGGCATGTTGGAAGATGCCAAGCCAGGTGCTAAGTCCCAAATCCTGATCTGTTGAACGCTAAAACCTGAAGCGGGAAGTTCCAGCCAGAACCCAAAGCTTAGTCCTACTCTCCCAGCCGTATGGTACCGTACAAGCCCTGAAAGCCTTGAAACCTCATCAGCCTTGTTATTGCTTCAGTTAGAACCTTATGAACCCTGACTCTGCATCCCAACATTGACAACCCACCAAGCCCCTGCTTTGATTCCGCCAAAACTGAAACGCTACACCGATGGCAAATTGATGCAATTTTCGGCGCAACGTTTTTTGCATGGAGTCAGTCTTGACAGCGGTCGGCACCCAAAGCCACAGCTGATGGAGAAATAAGGCATCCAAAGCACCTTCGGTATCGTTTCGAATGCAGTGGCACAGTAATTCATGGCACACTGTTTGAAACAACCTTCAATTTGTCCTTGCAAATCGCTCAGCAAAACATGTTTAAGTTTGTGGTAACAGTTTTGTTCGCATCCAAAAGAAAACAAAATTGTGCAGCTTGTGCCTTCGACAGCACATTTTTAGCACTGAACACGTTTAGTTTGCTCTTCTCCATCGTCGTCCGCACTCCAAATCCTCCATGGTGACAGTGCGACGCTGTGGCGAACTGCCACGAGCCAATCTTGGCAACACGTTAAACTCGTTTTTTGCATTGGCCGGCCTCCTGACAGAATCAAACAAGCTTCGCAACCAAAAATCAACGTAATCCTGTACAAAGGGTTAAAAATAAGCTCTGATGCGCTCACTTCCCACAGCAAGTAATCATGGAAGTTCAAGTGGGTATCACACCGTGTAACACAAATGGCTACTAAGCAAAGCTGTTGAAGTGCATGCACTCACACTGAAAGACTCCTTTTCTCGGCTTGCCG